TTTATTTGGGCATAAGCTTTCGTGAGTAAAAACCTCACTTCTTCGGATGAGGTTTTTACTCACGAAAGCTTATGCCCAAATAAATCTGTTAGTCTTTAAGGTGCCACCAGACTCCTTGTTGTTTTTGAGATTGGTTATGTACTCAGGAATTGCTAAGCAGCGGATATGCTATTCTTTTCAGCTCGTATTCTTGCAAATGGGGCCCTTGTACATAACAAAGCAGCCACTGATTAAGAGTTGTAAAGCGTGGTTCAGATTTTGGAGTATCATTTGCATTGCTAAACTGAAAGAAAGTGCCTTGTCAGGCTGTGGAATAGAAAGGGTTCCTCTGCAGTTTACAAAGGGTGTGTGACTCACCATGGTCTAGCAAACTCTGGATTTGTCCTTCTGCCTAAAGCTCCCTAGCAGGTCTAGGGACTGCTTCTGCAGTCTGATTTGCTGGAAGGCTGCCAGCAGCAACCCCGTCTCCTCCTCCTAACTGCAGTCAGTCAGTTCAGAGATGCCTCAGCTGATTCTTCTCTCATCACCTGGGTCTCAACTAGTCAAATGACCTGCCTGGAGGGTGAGCGGAAGGGACATTCCCCATGCCTGGCACCGAACGTCTGAGCAGGAGATGCAGGAGGAGGATGCACAGCAGGTGCAGGCAGGTACATTGTTTGGCATGTACAGTTTCTGTGTCGGGTCTTAGCAGATTTTCAGGAACTTCGGCCAGGGCCTAGAAGCTGCAAAGCCTGGGAATTGCTGTGCCAGACAATGTCAATAGCACCCAGTGCCCTGCAGAAGGACAGAATCTGACAGAAATGCCCCTGAGGGCTGTCCAAAATTGCTCAGGAATCATGCTACCTGCAACTATTCTGTAGGGCAAGGCTGCAAGAACCCTTTAATCCACTCAAAACCTCTTTGGGGTCCTCACATGCCATGTGCATGTATGCATGTGACATGTGAGAGCTCCTGTGTACATGTGCTCCCTGTAAGATAAGCTGTGTGCATGTCCACCTCGGAAGATGTGCCTGTGCTTTCTTTTTGTAGGTTTGCCCATTGGAGGGCCCTGTGTGAATGCCCTTCAGTGAGCACTGTGCCTGCTAGGCACTGCTGGCTAGCTTAGGGTGTGCCACAGGCCTGAGTTTTATCCTGGCCTCTCTTTTCAGACCCACAATTTTGTAGGAGCAACCAATGATGGGCACATTTGATGACATAATTTAGCCCTCCGCGTAACACGTTGCTAGGCTTGTAAAGGGTAGCATTGATGCCCACAAATAATTGCAAGCACAGAAGGAAGGCCAGGCTGGCAAAATCTGGCCCCTCAAGTCAATGGGACTGGTGCATCCCAGTTCCCTAGGGGCTTTTGTAAGCCTGCCCTGCATGGTGATCTCCTCACCATGGTGACCTGGGCATTTCCATACTGTATGCATTGTTACCATGGCCCTTCCTGCTGCTGCCTCCAGCCTATTCCTAGAACACCACTGCGCCTCATTTCACAAGGCCGCTGTGCCCATAACCCACGAGTCTCAGAACATTCTGTACAAAGGGAGCCAATGGTGAGCTACGGAGAGGGGAGTGGTCCCAGGGTGAGATGGGGCAAGAGGCAGCTACTCCAAGAGAGCTCCAAGGGCCAGAGCCTCAACCCAGGAAGGAGCAGAGAGCAGGTGGAGGACGGAGAAGCACAGTGAGCAGGTGGAAGTCATTATTGTGCCCAGAGCGGGCTGGGCTCTGGGGGCAGAGACAGACTTGGGAGCCCTCTGAAGGCATGGAGGGTGTTTTTGCCTGGAGCTGGGTAACGGGTGATATAGTGGGGAGTCATTGAAAACAGACTGAGTGAACAGCAGGGTGAGCTGGTCCCTTTATTCAGTGGGAACCAGTGTTCCCTCTAATTTTTCCCACCCATGTGCGGAATGAATTTTGTTATGTGCACCAGTACGGAGGTGATGTGTGACCGAGGGGTTCGGAGTGTAGGAGGGGGCTCACGGCTGGGGCAAAGGGTTGATGTGCGGAGGGGGTGAGGGCTCTGGGGTGGGGCAGGGATGAGGGGCTCAGGGCTGGGGCAGAGGGTTGGAGTGAGGTCTCCGGCTGGGGGTGAGGGCTCTGGGGTGGGGCCAGGGATGAGGGGTTTGGGGCACAGGCTGCCCCAGGGCTACAGTGGGGACTCCCCCCAGCCCTATCTCCCTGCAGCAGCACCTGGGACCATGGGATAGGCACCTCTCCCCCGGCCGCAACAGGTCCGGGCCAGGTTGGGGCCATGGGATAGGTGCCTCTCCCCCAGCCATGGCAGGTCCGGGGCTGGGGAGAGACATCTCTCCCCGCTGCAGCCTGAGTGCCTGCGTGGCACTTAATAGGCTGTTGTGCGGCTGTGCAGCTTAGAGGGAACTTAGGTGGGAACAGCCCAGTCTGGAGGCTGCCTTGGGGCTCTTGACATTATACTGAGCAGTGCCCTACTTGCAGTGTAATGGGGTTCCCTGGCTGACTAGGGACCTCCCTGCAACGGTTCGTGTTCCTCCCCCATTGTACTGTACCAGCCATATCCTCAGCTGCTTGATTCTCCAGCCTAGTCACCCAGGCTCTGGCAGCTGTGAACACTCTCACAGCCCCTGGCTGGCAGCTCAGCACTCCCACCCTCCACCCCCATGGCTACATTAACCCTCACCCTCACTTGGCAATTCAGTGAACAGCACAAGGAAGAGGGACCCAGGTCAGGGTCCAGGCTGGCAGCTGTTGTGCCCTACACATGCTGGGAAATGGCTTAATATGAAAGGTATTCCACTCCCACTGTGCTTACAACTCACTTGCTCCTGCATGGGGCCATCACCGCTGCTAAGCTAAGCTGAGGAACACATGGTTCCCAGCCAGGGTAAAAGGGAAGTGGCCAAGGGTCAGAAGGCTACATGGCCACAGCTAACCCTTATCAGGCCAGAGCCTGGCCCTACCCACATCAGCACATGCTGGCTGTAGCACTTTAAATGATGGTGATCCTTCCCCGTGGATGGGATTACTGAATACAGTCCCCAGGCTAGCCAGAACTCGGCTGGAACAGCTAACTGAGGGTTCTGCCGTGAGATCAAGCACAGGTGGGGAGCTCCCACAGGTAAGCAGCTAGCCCAGCTGCACAGAGCGAGTCCTAGGAGAGCAGAATCTTCCTTGCAGCCAGCGGGCTCCTGATCCGTAAGCAAATACCTCACAAATACCAGCTCAAATTGCTGGACATTACACCAGTAACAAACAGGCACCCAGCAAACCAGGCAAAGGGGAACTTGGATCTTTTATTGGCCCAGGTCATACAAGGCTGTAGAACTAGAGTGCAAGTCCTGGAGCAGCGGATAGGAGATGGGGGAGATGGATACAAATGGCTTTAGAAACTGATTCTTGTCATATAGAGTCTTTTGCAAGGAATTAGTATGGCTGTTGTGGATAAACCTGCCTGGAGAGCAAACAGGTCTCTCCTAGTGCGGGTGGACTATGCCACTGGGGCCCCTAAAGCAGTGACCCACTTCTCCACCCAGTTCAAGCAGAGCCCTGATTACTTGCAGGGAATCTTCAGCAGAGGGAGTTTTCCTTGGGAGGTTTTATCTGTCCCGGAAACCAAATTTATGTCAGCCCTGCTCCCCTGGGTAGTGGGAAATTGTGAAGCTAGTGTGGCTGGGGTACTTTGTGTGACATGCAGGGATGGTAGCAGATGGATCTGTGCTAAGCCTGATGAAGTGGAGGACATGGAAATGAGACACCTTTTTAAAGAGTCAGGGACAATCCTGGACCTTTTGTGAGTTACTATACTCCTTTCAGCACCATGCTACCCCTCTTTCCAACATCTATACAAGCAGATACCAGAGAGGGTGAGAGGGGATTGCCTTCTGTTGTTTGATGGAGGCATTGAGCAAAATACAATATTAACTAACTGTGATTTTGTTCAGCCATCTCTAATGCATGTTGAGGATTTCTTTGATGTAGGCCAAGGCCCTCTTTAGCCAAGATACTGTTTCCCTCCCCTAAAATGTCCCTGCCTCATTCCATGCAGCAGGTGGCTAGTACTCTGGGAATGAGGCAGCTTCTCAATATTTCTCTCTCTCCACTCATCATTCAGTGTGTAACCCTCAGGCCTTATTTACTGCAAACCATCCCAAATAGCCACTAAATACAAAATTATCATAAGAACATAAGAAAGGCCGTACCGGGTCAGACCAAAGGTCCACTAGCCCAGTATCCTGTCTACCGACAGTGGCCAATGCCAGGTGCCCCAGAGGGAGTGAACCTAACAGGCAATGATCAAGTGATCTCTCTCCTGCCATCCATCTCCACCCTCTGACAGACAGAGGCTAGGGACACCATTCCTTACCCGTCCTGGCTAATAGCCATTAATGGACTTAACAACCATGAATTTATCCAGTTCTCTTTTAAATGCTGTTATAGTCCTAGCCTTCACAACCTCCTCAGGTAAGGAGTCCCACAAGTTGACTGTGCGCTGCGTGAAGAACTTCCTTGTATTTGTTTTAAACCTGCTGCCTATTAATTTCATTTGATGACCCCTAGTTCTTGTATTATGGGAATAAGCAAATAACTTTTCCTTACCCATTTTCTCCACATCACTCATGATTTTATATACCTCTATCATATCCCCCTTAGTCTCCTCTTTTCCAAGCTGAAGAGTCCTAGCCTCTTTAATCTCTCCTCATATGGGACCCGTTCCAAACCCTGAATCATTTTAGTTGCCCTTTTCTGAACCTTTTCTAGTGCCACTATATCTTTTTTGAGATGAGGAGACCACATCTGTACGCAGTATTCGAGATGAGGGTGTACCATCGATTTATACACGGGCAATAATATATTCTCAGTCTTATTCTCTATCCTCTTTTTAATGACATCCTGTTTGCTTTTTTGACCGCCTCTGCACACTGCGTGGACATTTTCAGAGAACTATCCACGATGATGCCAAGATCTTTTTCCTGACTTCTTGTAGCTAAATTAGCCCCCATCATATTGTATGTGTAGTTGGGGTTATTTTTTCCAATGTGCATTACTTTACATTTATCCACA